GTGAAATGGTTTTTCTCTTCCATTTTTGGCTATTGACCAATAGGCATGGGCAAAAAAATACAGCAATCTGACAACACGGTACACACCTCTGGAACCCCCGCCTGGTTACGCAAGATGCGCCGTGTTAATACAGAAACTCACGGTAGCGAAAGGAGGATGGTTTTTTTTTTCTTGGGTCGTATTCAGACATGACCTGGGTTTGCCTAAATTTAAACCAGGCGGTCACAGCCCAGTATTCGCTTCATTTGCTAGTTTTATACACTTATGGGCGAAAGAAGTGTAAGGAGTAACTATTCCCTTGTCGTAGATTACCTGTGGCACCCACTGCTATCCGTTAGCCATACTTAAAAGGGTAGCTTTGAATGGTATGCGGAGTTAGCGTCATTTTTCGATTTAACGCCCATCCAGCAGTCAGTGTCGTCATTGGAATGTACGTCAAGCTCAAATGAGGAGTCTGATAGCTCTTTCGATTGATAGATTGGCTTGCTTTGGCGACAGAGCGCTCAATAATACTGGAATTATCGCAGAGTGCATGGACGATCAGAATTCAGGTCATGTCCGAATACGATCCAAAAACAGAAAAACCCGAAGAGGACGGTTCTGCTCCAACTAAACATACCCGAAGAGGACGGTTCTACTCCAACTAAACATACCCGAAGCGCTCTCGTAGCGCTAGTACCACTTTTGTGCTGCTGTATACCTTTTTGTGGTTGGAAATCCCCACTCCAATATTCAATAACGGCAAAAGAAAGAAAATGCTGATTTTTAGGTATAACGAAAACAAACGTGCTAATCTAAATCAGTACGAATCGACATGTTGCTTGTTCTAGAGTCACTCCGGCTTACTTGGGCAGCAAAGCCATCTTAGAAGTGATCTTCACTGTACAGCGGTGCCTTTTTCGTCTTGAACTTCTTGTGTAACTTGCTGAGTGCAGCCTGGTATCTTTCTAGTACGTCCGCATTTATGGACGCCATATATCCAGGCTCCTTGGCTCTCTTAAGGTCAATATCAAATTTTTTAGCCAGCGAATTGATTCTCTCGAGAGGGGCAGCTCGTTCTTCTGTATCAGCGGTAGTGTCGTAGGCGTGGTGGGTCCTCAGCAGCCGCTGGCTTGGGCCACTGGGCAAAGCCCCCTTGGAGATAGAAGCCACATCAGAGTCCGATAGAGCATCGCTAGCAGCGAGCATAGCGGCCGCAATCACCAGGAGGACTTGAGATAGACGCATGTTATGCTGATTCGTCGTGGGCTTTGGAGCTGAAGAGAAAAATGTGAAGTGAGACCTGAACCGAAGTTGGTGGAATAGCGTCCATCGTGTGGTCTCGTGGTGACTAAAGGAATGCAAGTTGTATCGTAGACTTTGAATCGGACTCGCTCTATCAACACTGCTCCAGCAGCACAACTGTACTGTTCTGTATTCATGTGATAGCGTATACTTTGTGGAGATCCAGGGATAGATCCAGATGGCGTGACCACGCGTGAATAATCCCAGATGTTGTTGCAGTCGAATCCTGTTTGCGGTCTGCGACATACAGCGCTACAAGTACAAATGTACGAAGTTGTACATGCAGTATCAATACTGCTCCAGCAGAACAAATAATACTACTACTCCGTTTCATATTACTTGTCCTCTTCAACTTTCAGCCTGTTTCAAAATGCTTGTCCCTCAACTACACTTATTTTAATTATGGTGTGATGATTATCCATGCCGAGACAGTAGGGTCAGAGCACGGAATGTTCAAATGAAGTCTTCCCTCCCGGCGAAGCTTGTGCAAGCTTGTAGGTGATCTCACCACCTTCCCTTATGCACGACTCCATTGCGCACTGCAACTCTAAGTGGCGGAGGCCAACCTCCTTTATTGCCCCGCGTCGAGGTTTGCCAGCATCCGAGCGGCCAGTATCTCGGAAACGGCCTGCTGGCGCTCTCGTGGTGTCAGTTCTCGTTTTGTGCGCTGGTTAGTCTCAATGGCGGTCAGTGGTTAGTTTCGGAATACTCCAGATATGAGCTAGGATGGGCGACGTCTGTGCTGTTTGCCACTATTTTGGCTCGAAATGTACTCGAGTTGTCACCACGGATCGAATATTGGTTGATAGCTGAAGTTCTGCAAATCGCACCGACTCCAGCTTGCATTTAAGGCCAATCCGAGGTATTATCGCGTTTTATTGACGAATCCCGAGCCAGTCTAGCAACAGGGGACAAGTAATATGAAATGGAGTAGTATTCTGTACTCATTTGATGTCGTATACTTTGTTCAGATCCTGGGATAGATCCAGATGGCATGACCACACCGATTAATCCCTGATGTGATTGTGGTCAAATCCCGTTTGCGGTCTGCGACATACAGCGCTACATGTACAACTGCACGAAGTAGAACCCCTGTCAAATTTGTCCAACGAAAAAAAGGAAAAAAACTACCGTAAAGTCGGTTCCAGTGCGACAATGCGACATACAAGCTTCGGTATCTCTCCTACAGGCAAATCTGGACGATAAGAGACTACACCGTGGCAGATCAAAGTGAACTGCACAATGTTAGAGTGTCCTCAACCAGACAATATTCCAGCGTATTCAAGCCAGTACTGTTCCGGAACTCAGATCCTCAACATTTCTCGATGTGTAGTCGACACGTTTGCCGACTCTGGTGCATCAGATTTCTTAGGAGTAATGTGGTCTACAGGTGGGGACTCCACTACGACCCCACACATTCGACTGAGAGATCATTCGTGGACGGAGCCTACCACCGGTGCTTCCTATAGTGTCTATGCTGTTCATATGGTTTCTAGTGTTGGCGATCCGACTTGGAACCAGTGTCCTGCTAAGGATGGCTACTCTTCGTAGTCGTCCCGAGCCACAAGAGAAGCGAGTTCACCGACGCTGAGATAGCTCCAATGACGAGACCTACAGGGAGTGCGTGGCTGACGACGTGGCTAAAAGACGAGTTCGAAGTGGAAGACTTAGGATTCGAAGAAGTTCTATTGATTCCAGTTATTCTAGTGGTGGTTGCTTCTATGGGGATTGGCTGGTTCTGCTGGAAATGGAGCTCGTTGCTCAAGAGAGAACAGGCTTCTTCTTGCGATTTTGACGTGGTTTCTCCAAATTACTTGGATGTCGTTACTCACGAACAAGCTCTTCGACGGACGGTGACGACTACGAGCTACGGTCCGTCCATTTCTAGTCATCCTGATGACTACGAAAGTGCTGGTTCCAACCAAACGTTAAAGATATTGCTGCATAGTCAACATCTTCACGGAAATCGAATCCCGTACGACAGTCTGGTTTTCCAGACGGAGTTATCCAAAGGAGCGCCAGGAGAAGTCTGGATCTGCCGCTACGGAGGCCAAGAAGTGGCAGTGAAGAAGTTACTGCATATTAGAGACCAGAAGGCAGAAGACGTGCAGATTTTCGCTGAAGAGATCGAGTTGACGGCCAGTTTAATTCATCCGCATATTGTCAAGTTCATTGGGGTGGCTTGGAATAGTCTCAGCAACTTGTCAATGGTGTTGGAATATGTTCCAAGAGGGAATCTGAGGGACTATTTACATACAAACTCCGACATATTATCGTGGGCGAGAGATCGGATTTTTATGGCCATTGCAGTGGCTGAAGCGCTGGAAAATCTGCACTCTTGAACCCCCGCAATCATCCGTCGGGATCTCAAGTCGAATTACATTCTATTGACAAAAAGTCTTGATCCTAAACTCATCGACTTTGGAGTAAGTCGAGGTATGATGGATCTCACCATGACAGCAGGTGTCGGTACTCCATACTGGACGGCACCAGAGAATATGGAGGGTGATCGATACACTGACAAGGCAGATATCTACTCGTTCGGTGTTGTATTGTCAGAGCTTGACACGGGACGGATTCCCCATTTTGACGCAGTGGAAGACGACGGAACCAGATTAATGCCGTTCCAAATCTTACAGGAAGTCATGACTGGTACATTGCGACCGAGCTTCTCCGTGGATTGTCCAACTAGGATACAGAGGATCGGCGTAGCATGTTTGTCGTTCGAACCTTCGGATCGACCGACGGCACAGGAGCTGATCCAGTTGCTTGAAGGAAAATATAGTGAAACATTCTAGTCAAGATTTATTGTGAATAAAGGGTGAATTTTAAACCTGAAAAGATACTAAGACAATGGAAGGAGGTGGGTTGCTAAGTAGCGCTGATATGGGTGTCAAAAGTCGCTGATCATAAGTCTAAGGTCTGGCTGAGACCACACAGTGGACATGGCCGAGCACGACACGATATCTCTGCGGAGTTTGACTCCCATTCCTTCTTCATCCTCCAGCTCGTCGTTCGTTTTCGACGCCACCAATTCCGACATTGCGCGGCAGCTTCTCATCCGTCATCAAGCTGGTGATGTGGCCGAACAAGTCAACCTCACGTCGATTCCTACCGCTGTACTAGATCGACTGACTCCGCTCAATATTGACTTCGATGGTCTTTCTGGTCTCGTTCAATGTGCTGTGCTGTGGGATACCGGCTTTGCCATTTCACCCATATAATAATCCCATTCAGATCTGGACCATGCAGAACTATTCTATGGCAGATCTAGCGGTGCCTAAATCTGACGTCTCCTTTGTGGACTGCACGTATCTCAATTGTTCGCAACCGAATGAGGAGATAGCACACTACGCGCAGTACTGTACCGGGTGGAAGATGCTCAGCGTGTCTCGCTGTGTGACCGATGACTTCGAATACCTGGGAGCGGATACGTATCTAGGGATGATGTGGTCTATTGGTGGTGACCCGAACATGACTCCGCCCATTCGACTGAGAGACCACACGTGGACAAAAGACATTGCTGAATATGTGGCAACGTCACCTTCTCCGTCTACGTGGTGCACACAGTGCCACATGAGCTTGATCGGGCCTGGAACGAGTGCCCTCTTAACAATGGATTTGGATCACTGACAGGGCCTTTCCACACTAAATGTAGGGTCGACACCCCTTATTCTGGAGTATGAAATAATTTTGTTGATTGAATCGCCAGTCAAACCACTAATAAAACAATAAAATAATAGCGGTATTCAAGCAACATCAGCTCAGTTTTTGTTTTGGCGACACTGCCGGTGTACCATTTTTAGCCAATCAAAGTCGCAATTAGTTGACTACCTTTCAAACTTCTTGCAGCAGCAGCAGCTCATTTGGACTAGAATCGAGTATTTACCCCCCCCCCCCCATTCTAGGATGTCTCACTGCTCCAAGCGTAAACAACTGCTATGCCACGTGCAAGACGTCCTCGTGACGAGGGAGGCTTCACCCTATTACGAGATATGCTGAGCGACTGCAACAAGGTTACATACAAGTTGCTACATGTAGCCACTTGATTACGACAATG